ACTTACAAACTAGAATAAGATCTGCTTTCAATTATATTCCTCATATTTTGGTTCCGAAAGATCCTGTTACTGCAATTGCTCGTGGTGCCGTACAATATGGTTTAAACATGGAAACCATTAAAACAAGAGTATTAAAATATTCTTATGGTGTTAAACTCGCTTTTGAATGGCAGCCAGGTGATCCTCCGGAAAGAAGAACTCCAAAGGGAAAAATTTTTAAATTCTATCAACTGGCAACACGTGGAACCACAGGTATTTTATTGAACACTTATTTTAAAATTTAGTTTTCCGAAAAAATCACTGTTTAATTCACTAGTTCGATTTTCATTTTTTAAAAATAGTCGGAGTCAATCAAGAATTTTTTGAAGTTTTCGTACCTTTCACTAAAAAGCATAAAACGAGTACTTATCGAATATACATTACTCGTAAAAAAATTGGAACATATTGCGACGAAGAAGGGATGAGGTTTCTTGGTGAACTTAAAATTGATTCTCAAAATACTTCTCATGGAATGGGGAGTCCGATACTATTTTCACTTCGTTTCGGTAAAATGGAAATTGATGCTACTGCAATAGATCAAATTACCGAACAGATTTACCAAACTACTTTTAAATTGGAATTGGAAGAATCTGATTCTTTTCTGTGATATCTTAATTTTATTGCCTTTTTTTTTTTTTATCGAGTAATTTCATTTCGATAACGTTAATAACAATCACGAGGTTTTACGATTATCTATCATATATAAAGTTATTACCTTTATTTTGTAGAATAGGTTCAAATTTTTTATTAATCTTTGAAATGCATATTTGTATATGCCGATGTATCATTTGATAGCATAAAGTTTTTATAAAATGAATAAATAATATAATGTTATTACAATTATGTTAAATTTAGAGCATGGTGGACATGCCAACTCAGAAAATTCAACGTCAAGATCGAAATACGCCGACCATGATCTTTAAAGACTTTAAGCCTATATTTCTCGATTAATACTTAACTAATTTTAGTGAATTTTTTTCTATTTTAATTCTGTAAGTTAATGGATACAGTAGGATTTCGTATTTTGTACTACCAACAGTGCATTTTAAAAAATTCATAGCAAAAGCAAAAATAAGTGTCGCAGCTGATGCTGAAATTTGGAGTCTCGATTTGAAAATATAAACCCTGCTAAAATTCACATATACTCTTTAATGATCAATTCTAGCCCTAAATCCTAACCTAACCCTAAAAAAAAAGCGGACAAAAACACCACAAAAAAATTTAAAATTTTTATATCAAATAGGTTCGAATTTCAGCATCAGCCGTTTTTAACATCAGCTGCGACAATAAATAAATTTTTATAACTTTGCACTCAAATAATTATTGGCATACTATATAAAAATATCATTTTTATTGATCTTTATTATTTAGCTAAAAAAATTATTTAACTTTAAACACATGATTTATTTAGCAATAATAAATGTACTACACTATTACAGGCCACCTTACGTCTTATTTATTAAAAAAAATTTATTTGCTGCGCATTTAGAAAATAATAAATCGAATGCAAATAAATATAAAAAAAAATTTGGATTATGCGGATATTTCCATGGTGCATATCGAATTAATTGCTTGTACTGTACGTCGCTATGAAACAATTGCAATTTTTAAGCTATATGATTGGCTTTCAAACTAACAAACGTTAAATGTTGAATTTTTATTTGAATTTTAACAAATGTTATATTTTGAATGTTTATTGAACATATGGGCTGATTTTTGGAATTACTATTTGAGTAAAAAATTTACTCAAATAGTAATTCCAAAAATCAGCTCATATGATTTTTTTTTGTATTAAGTTAATAATTGGCTTTCAAGCTAACAAACATTAAACATTAACAATTATCAAGTTCTTATTTATGTTTTTTTTTATTTGTATTGAGTTAACAATTGGCTTTCAAGCTAACAAATGTTTTTATTTGAATTTTTTTTTTTATTTTGTCTTTTTATTATATGATTTTTTAATGTAATAAAAAGTTTTTTTTTTATTTTTTATATTGCAATTGTATCTATTCGTGAAGGCAATGTGTTTCTTTTGCAATTGTGAAGGATCGTAAAACAAAAAAAATCTTTTTGTTTTTTTTTTTTGGAAATAAAAGTTTGTAAATATTCGAAAACAAAACAGAGCATTTTTTGTAATTGTAATTGTTTCTGGTGTATATTAATATCCATATAAATGATGTTTGCGATTTTATTTTTTCTGCTAAAAAAAAAATTGGCAATTTCAAGTAATAAAAGTATCTCAAAAGCACACATAACACAAAAATTAAAAAGAAAGTGGAATGCCTGAGAAAATTAAATATTATTACTTATCTTGAGGAAAATGAAATAAGCATTAAAGAAGTGTCTAGAAAATTTAATATCCAACCTAATCAATTACATGATTGGATTTGTAATCAAGAAATGTTAATTAAAGCTTTATCCAAAACTTTTAAACTACATAATAGATACTCATCCTACTATTTACAAATTGAAGAAACCTTATATTACTAGATTACAGAACAATGTCAATTACAAAATCCTGTCTAGTGATGGTACCCGATCAAAAAAATGCCACCCGGATATCCGACGGGTAAACCCGCGGGTTACCCGGGTGATCTAC